ATCCATAACAGGGGACATGACAAGACAAATTCCTCCTTGAGCATGCAGCTCCCACGCTGACCCAGACAGAGGCACTACTTGCTGAACCATCCAGGTGAACCATGCAAGCTCACACCCGTGTCCAAAGCCAGCCTCAATTGCTTCCTGGTGCTGCATTCAGAGCAACTGGAGAGGCAGAATTGAATCAAGACTGCTATATTGCATCTTCGAGGATATTTACTTGTGAAACAGGACTCAAATGAACAACCTTTTCATTTTATGTGAGTTCTCCTGAGCAGGGAAAACCGCTTTGAGCTTGAAAGGAGGAACACTCACGTGGCCTTGAGCATCACTCGGTAATCTATCAACAGATCTTCTAGTTCAATTATGTGTTATTAAAAATATAACCCCCCTCAGCCATTCCCTATTGTTAAAAAAGAACAAATGCAGCCAATTACATCCCATTATCGCCATTTCACCAACAGAGCAGTTAATCGGTGACACCATGAGTCTAACTTCATAAAACACAGGTGTCACAAACCTGTCTGTGTCCTAGGCACTATGAGTCATTACTTTTATAACATGTCCCAGATTTTTGTTGTCTTCATTTTCCTGTGTCCCTCTTGACACTCTGAAATAAGTCCTTAGTCCCCTTCACTCTATTTACATGATTCTTGCAAAATTAAACCACTGTTTTTGAAAGATATGGCCTGTAGTCTGATTTCCTTTAAAATATTTTTTCTCTATTCTGTGCATTTTTTTTTTTTTTTTAATATAGGGCTTCTATATACCCTTATTCTAGTAAAAGTACATTAGTATGTTTCCCTGGACAAAACACCTGAAAATATTATATAAGGTTCTTCAATACAAAAAGAGATGGTACTCAATCCCATATCAGGGCAAATTTGTACTTCTGCATTATAGCATAAAGCTATCCTAAAATGAGCTTATCCCAATTTTGGGTGATTCTTCATGCATACCAGGTTGCATAGTGTCTGCCTTCTTCCTACTACTGGTGAAGAGGGCATGATAAAAATAAAAGCAGTTAGCTAGCACAGAGCACTCCAGACTCTAGCCATCACCGGCTGCCCAGTACAGTAGCATAGCCTGGGGGCTTCATATTTATTCTTGGAAGACTTCACCTTGGTGTAACCCACACAAATGTTTCCTCATCAAATACAAGGACACATAGGCCATACAAATGTTTCTCATCAAATACAAGGATAGATAGAATGCTATTCTGTTCGTTAAACCATTAACAATGATTAGTAAGGAACTTATAAAAAGGAGCTACTGTCCTTGAAGAAGAGAAACATCCTGAAACATAGAAGTTCGTTAAAATTGTTTACCATAAATCAGATTAATTAGATATTAGAGTGTCCTTTGTAGGAACTATTCTAATAGTAAAAATCACACCCACCGCTTCAAAGATCCCTGCCTGAGTAAAGACCCTCACCCTTTGAGCTTGTGCAGAAAAATTAAAACCCACTATAACTTTAAATGAAGACGAGGCACGTTACTAACCAATGAGGCATAGAAGTGATAAGCAACTAATAGTCATTATAGTAAACATGTAATCCTGTAGTCTGAAGTGTATAAATACCTTGAAGTTCTTTTGTGTGGTGTGCTAGCTTTGTGGCATAACCCCCTAGCACTCATCTTTGCACAAATATAGAATAAACTGATATCTCGGATCTGTGTGCAAGACTGGCTTCTGCACACCAGGTAACAAACCCTGTTTGAGGCACAACAATGGGGCAAGGTAAAGGAGTTCAATTACAGCACCAGCATACCTTTGCAGTCACCTTCTTCACCAGCTCCCATCACTCTGGGCTAACAGATGAGGGATAAGCCCATGATTTTATAATTATCTGACCCATAAATTTACATGTATAACTGCAACTATATTAATGGACAACCATGTTCATGTGTTGAGGGCAGCTTCTGTGGAAGCTGAAGATGACAGTGTTCAAATGATGTCATCTGTTTTCAAATGAAGTCAGCTGGCCAATGTCACTGCATACAAGGATGTAATGGAAATCTCAGAGGTTTCTCAGAGCATCAACCACCTATCTTCATATTTCATTTGGGCTGCTGGAGCCAAATTCATTGCTGGGTTACCTTGGGTTGCCTTCCATATTCAGCACACAAGGAATGGGAAAGTGTGGCAGAATACATTATTCCCGATTCTACCTGAGTCTCAGACTGGACTGTGTGCCACACAGCCATAACTAATAGAGAAAACACACAGTGTCAGGCTGCTGTAGAGCCTTTCACACACGGCCTTGTATTGCCACCTTCAGACCAAACCAAGACATGCCCTGTCACTCTCTCTAGTATTAAGCAGCCCATCGCACCTTTAGCGGCACTCCAGCCCCAGCCAGAAGCACTCAGCCCCACAGTGAAGGTGAATCCCAACCACAGCTCAACTTCAGACCCAGACTGAACTTTGCTTCCCTACAGTAACGGCAAAGGAAAGCAGAAGGCCACTTGCGATGCTAGGTCATTAAAAGACGTGTCCAAATTTGCAAAGTCCTAAATCAGGTTATTTTATTTTGGAAGGAAGAGCTGTCATGGAATACCCCATCCTGAGTCTGGCTCTGTGGAGATCTTGTGAGTCCTCTTCCACTCCTAAGGTGTCAGGCACTAATATTATGGTACACTGGTTAGTGCAAACTAGTGAAAAATGAGATTAGCATTTTTAGAGGAACCTTAACATGACCTTTTGAGCAGCAATTTTACAACCACAATTATAGACATAATAATTGTGGTGAAACTAATTTGAAGAACAAATGATAGCATTTAAATGCATGATCTACAGATACAATTTGACATAATATACGTTTTTATATGAGCCAGAAGTTTCTAGCAGATGTAAACAACAGAAACCATAAATTAGAGGACAAATTAAACACCTTTTGGTTTTTATCACCCTCATACTCAAGATGAACACCGATGAGGTCAATTCTAGCTATTTATATTTTTGATAAAAAAATAATTATTTTATTAGCATATAGGACCCTATATTCTCGAATTATTGAGGTATCAGCTATATATTTTCTAACCTAGTGCAATCTTTATTAATTATTTCTGAATTTTACTCTGTTCTAAATTCCTCTTCAAAGCAGAAATACTGAAACACCAAATCCTATTAATCTCTCATGCTCTACTGTCTTTGCTCTACCATTTATTCAACCTCCAGCCTCCAATTCAGTATTACTAACATCTTTTATAGAAAGCTTTATAGTTTTAATGTATTTGATTGGCATATGCATGTAAACTAACTGGGATTGGTTGGAGGCAGAGGACCATGGCATTAGCACAATGACGTATTTATCAAATATAACCTCCATATAGTCAAGCTCATCTCGCAAGATACACGTAACAAAAAATAAGATCTGACAAGACTAATTTGACTCTTAGCATAAAGTACTGTTTATACAGTGCAAGACGGCTAAACGTCCATGCTCTCTTATTGCTATAACATGATATATTTTTAGTAATCCAGTAAAATCTGTCTACTTCTGTGTTAACCAGTCTCTGGGGATTTTTTGTTAACACTTTTGGTTTGGTTTGTTGGGGGTTTTTAGAGCAAAAATAACCAACAGCCTATCACGGGTTCAGTGACGTTAGACCAGATTTCTTTAAGGCCCAACCTAAGCCTCAAAACGTACTGTCTTGGTGGACAGCTTTCAGCCACAAAGCTCTCGTTTGCGACATACTGTGATCCGTGCAGCTCATGGGAAGACCCCTCAGCTTCCTCCAGTGTTCTGGAGAGCCGATCCTCCAGAGAAATGATCATGTGTGACATTTTAGACCTCAATATCCTCTGTGCATCAGGGTTATGGTAACTTTGGGAACCTGTGTACATAACCTCTAACTACTGCTACTAGTATGAACTTATTAAGTAGTTGGTTCTTTGAAAACTGTAGCAAGTTCCTGTGTCTATATGTATCCACAGAGTCAAGAATAATCAGCAGATTCTCTGAGGGGTTCTTAGTGCTGTCTCAACACGTATTGTTTCACTGATTAGAGACAGGAATTTAAAAGCTGACCTTTGACCAGCAAAAGACTCAGTAAGGAGGTGGCTGGGACGCGCAGTGTCTCCTAGAGCTTGGGACGTGATGGAGAAGTGGAAAGAATGGGAAGTTGTGAGCAACAAGATTAAAAAGCCAGAAATAACAGAAGAGGAATTTTTAAAGGGACTGGCAGAAAGGAGAACATGGAGGACACTCAGGAAGCCCTGTCTGGGGAGGGAAAAGGTGGACAGGCTGTTGTGGTGGAGTCTTAGTGCCCTCCAACTTTCCTTGGCGTTTATCCTGGAGGTATGAAAAGCAATGGTGAAGTGTAGAGCACTGGAAAAAAAAAAAAAAAAATCCCTGTTAGCTTATATATACCATATCCCTCAGAGAGATTTGCAGCAAAAAGGCTCAAATGCTTTGGCTGAAATGCTGGCTGTTGTGGGGCAAGGCAACGGATGGTATTTCAAAAAATCTGGGGTAGATATTTTAGGACTACAGCTGGACAGCAGGATACAGTTTTCAGGGGGAACTGTCACAGGGGGGTTCTGCACCAGAGAAAAAAATGCTTGAAATCGCTGAGAAATTTGAAAAACAGTATGAAAAAGCTGGAATCGGCTCAGATTTGCGACAAATAGAATGTACCAGAAGGGACTCAGGGACTATTCCTCCCTAGGGGCAGCCAGACAGGAGCGCTCCGCTCCCCGCCGCAGCCTGCCCAGCTGCTACATTTTCCAGGAGGAGCGGAGGGGAACTTCTAAATCATACGAACACCATCCGCTTCCAAACGCAGGCACCGCAACAGCACTGAGCGCGCCCCGAAGAGGGAGATGTTTTTTGTGAACACGGACGCGACCCGTGGGGCCGCCCCTGCCCCTCACGGGGAAGTGGGGGGGGTGTCAGGCAGGCGGCGCTCGCGGCCCCCCCCCCCCCCCCCCCACATACACACACTCTCTCTCTTCCTGCCGCCGCCGCCGCCGCCGCCGGGCGAGGCGGGCTGGGCGCGCGTGCGCAGCCGCGGCAGTTGCTGGCGGCAGTGGCAGTTGCTGGCGGCAGTTGCTGGCGGCGCTGAGGCGGGCCGGGGCGCTGGAGGCTCCGATGGATTCTCCGCTTCCCTCCCAGCCTGCCCGCCCGGCTTCGCCGGGTAGCACCGACCCCGGGCAGGAGAGGCGGCAGGAGAGGCGGGGGCGGGGGCGGGGGCGGGGGCGGGGGCGGGGGCGGGGGCGGGGGCGGCAGGGGTATAATGTTGTGCGTGCGCGCTTCCCCGCTCCCGAAATACCGCAGACTGTCATGTCCGAGACCTACGGTAGGAACTGGGGGCGGGCGGGGTGGGGGGACCCTCCTCTTCCTCCTCCCCTCCTGGGGAGCGGGCCCGGGGCCGAGCAGTCGCCTCTTGAGGAGCGGGGCGGCGGGCGGTCCGCTGTGGAGGAAGGCGGCGGCGGCGTGAGGAAGATTTTGTCATCTAGTCCCTTCTTTTTGATGTAACAGCTACTAGAGAATAGCGGCTTGTGTACTTGGTCTTGTGACAAAAATGTGAGTGCATACTAAAATCTAGCTTTTTTTTTTTTCCGTCTTGCAATATTCAGATTTCCTGTTTAAGTTTTTGGTCATAGGAAACGCGGGAACTGGAAAAACCTGTTTGCTACACCAATTTATTGAAAAGGAATGTAAGTATATGAGCACAGTGAGATTTCTTCATTGCTTTGTGCTACAGATGAAGGCTCTGCCTACATGAACATCTATTCTTTGTATGGAAGTTCCTGTAATTCTCCTACTTGTCTATATGAGGATTTTGACTGAGAATTATGTTCAGAACCATGCTATAAGTCTTTATTGCTCACTGTGTTTGCCTCTAAGCACAAGCATGATATTGAGCAGTATTCTCCATTGCTCTCAAATATAGCAGGATATTGATGAAAATAGACTATTTTTTTGTGAGAATTACATCTTGCAGCTACAAGCTTCCCTAGACATACAGTAGAGACTCAGATCTTTTAGAAAAAAATACTGAGCAGATGAAAGAAAAGTTGAATTGTTTGAGTAGATTTAGAAACCCTGTAGTCTTTCAACATAGACAATCCATGTTCTTTGTTAAGGACTGTGTTCTATAATAAACACTGGTAGAGACTCCATTGTAGATATTATTTGGAGATTAATAGATGATATAAAAGAAGATTTCCTATTGGGTGGTGCATTTAGCATCATGATTAAACAAAAATAATATGCATTTAGAAACCTTTGTAAAACTAAGATAACTACTATTTTTCTCAACCAAATGGTAATTTGCGTTATCTCCTAAGGATAATAGTGTGTAATCACTGAGGAACATGGCATGATCCTGTGATTGAACTTGAACTGTGGCCTTGCTTCCCATATGGGCAGTTGTATATTGCTGAGAATCTGTGATATCAACAGTGTACATAGAGCAAATATCTTAACTTCAACCTTTAAAGAAGAAGTAGCTCTTGCTTATTTATGGGCAGGACTGTGTCTTTTTGTGTTCTGCTTTTCTGTGAATTTTAATTTTAAATTGCATCAAAGTATTAGAAAACACAGTTGGGAAAAAAAGTGTACAAAAGTTATCTCGCCATTTATTAATGTGAACAGGGAATGATTAGATTAAGGCAGGCCTTTCTAGCAGTAATTTTGAATTGAATAACCTGTTCAAAAATTGTAAGAATGTTTATTTCTGCACAGTGGCAATAGACTTCTGAGTGTCACTGAATTTGATGGTTCAGGAAGTAGTTTGTAATTTGAACACTGATGTGTTTTGATTATACCTAAATTGGTTTATGTAAAAAATAATTATTCACTCTATTTTCTAAATAAGTCTGGGTTTTTTTTCTTTTTTTTGTAGTCAAAGACGTCTCAAATGTTACTATAGGAGTGGAATTTGGTTCAAAGATCATAAATGTTGGTGGTAAATATGTAAAATTGCAGATATGGGATACAGCAGGACAAGAAAGATTCAGGTACTGTTTTCAGTCATTTTACTGTTTGTTATTAAATTGTTGGTGTGGGTGTTGGGTATTATTTCTCTCTGCTTGTAAATTTCTTGGTCAGCAGAAGTGTTTGTCTGCCTTCATGTTATTAACTGGGCCAGATCTTCCGACTTGGACATAACAACATAGATCCATTGATTCCAGTAAAGCAGTGCTGCCTTGCAGGACCTGAGGTTCTGCCCTTTCATTAGGTATTTTCTGTGATAGTTAATGTACACGAGTAGAATATGTATGTGGTTAAAATTTTGTTCACTAGGCAAACTCAGAATAGTTTTTTAACTAACCACGTGTGCTTAACTTTGTCTTTAGAAGATCTTCTGTTGATTGGAATAAATTGTAAATTGCTCAATCTGCATGAGAACAATTTCATAGTATTTTATTAGAGGGAAAGAAATCAGTTGTCAGGTTCACTTGGCTAAATACGCTTCCAGAAAGACTGAAATCTCTTAAGTTTCTTAAGGAAAAAGCAATGCACTTGTCAGATTAAAACCACTTTTAATGTTGTCTTTTAATTGTGTCATATCAGAGGCATAGGTGAAACTCAGTAAAGATCTCATGTATTCCTGAGTACATTCACCATCACACGGGACATCAGTTTTTCATATCTTTGGGAGGTGGAGTTTGTGTGGGAAGTTTCTCTGGTTTTAGAGGCAGGGACAGTGGTTAACAAAGGTGAGTGTGGTGGTAGAACCTGAGTAATAGGCAGCAATCCAAGTAATCTGTAGATTTGCCTAGTCACAGATGTATCCAAAGGACTTGTCTAATAGAAGAGTAGGCAAAGCTGGGCAGTGCTGTGTAGTCTCTATTAATGAGATCTCTTCAGTGTGTTGGCCAGATATCCTGGGATTCTGAGGAGTTTGGAAATTGTACTTTCAGAGACTTGTGCAAATTCTGCTCTTTCAAGTTCAGAGTATTCACAGATTTGCAGGTTGTTCTTGTTCTTGTTTTTGTTTTTGTTTTTTTTTTCTTCATATTGATTTTTATAATCTATCCAATTCTTTTGTTCTTAAGGCTTGTCACACCTCTGTGTGCTGATCAGGTTTCTTCTTCTCCCTCTACCTTTTGAAGGATGCTTTGCTTTGCTTTCATTGCCTCCTTCTCTTCAACTTAAGGAGTGTTAAATTGTTCAATTAAAACAACTTTGCTCAATCTTTCCTCAATGCTGAGAGTTCAAACATAAGTTAATTATGCTTTTTTTGTGCCAGAGATACCACCATCAGCTTCTAGTTCTATATCAGGCCATACAGTATGATGCTGTGTAGCTTCAGCAGCACACAGGTCATAATGGACTTTGAGAATCCTTGGACAGCTATATTTAGTGAAAGTGCTTTGTCAAAAGTCTAGTTGTAAATAGTCTGCTGCTGCACAGCTGATAATGTCTAAAATATAAATTTTATTTTAAATACGTAAAGTAGAATTCTGTCTCATAACAGAGATTGCATTATATTAGCCATTATATTGAAACAATGAAGATGATATAGAAATGTGCATCTGTAATTTTATTTCAGTTCTGTAACAAAAAATTACTGTAGAGGAGCTGCAGGTGCTTTGCTTGTCTATGATATAACCAGGTAAGAAAGCTAGCAACTCTTTTCCTTATAGACAGTTGGGGTTTTTTGCTTATAGACAATCAGATACAATTAATGCATAATGATTCCTCCCCAAGTACCTAATCCTCTAATGGAGAATGGGCAGGAAGAAAAGAAAATAAGTGTAAAAAGTACTTCTGGTTTTGTGCATATTTAAGTTTTGGAACTTGCTTACATGAGATACTGTGAGTGTCATAAATGTAAACAGTCTCAAAAGGGTTAGACACAAGGGAATTGGCCTACCAGTAGCTGTTTTGATTGTGGTGGGCTACATGCAACCACTGGCCCAGGAAGCCGTGCAATAGCAACTAAAAGCAGACTTAGCCACTTTTAATCAAGGTGGTTCACCCCTATTTGTGGAAACTATGTATTAGTATGCTGATATAACAGGTCATCTTCTGGAGAAGCTAGCTCTACCTACACATTCCATAACTGTAGCCCAAAATTCTGTTCATCTCTGCATCTTTTAACATTTGAGTATTATAGGCAGCCAAGAGAATACCTTACCGTACACATTTCCACACTTTTCCTGGCCGCCACTGACTGATAATTGTCAGATAAGTTTTATGTTGGTTAATGATGTTTGCTAGATTTGTTGCCTTTTTTTTTTTTGTCCTGAGTGGACTGTTCTCCTCTGAGCAGTCTTGAAAGTCTTTTTTGGTCTTGGCACAAGTGTAGAATTGAGTGCCTGAACTTTCACAGAAGTAGTAAGTTCTTAAAATCTTACCTGAACTCAATTATCAGTTGAATTCCATGTTAAACAATAACTCATTGTGTCATTTCAAAATTTCATGTATAAAAGGCTGAAACTAGTGCTTAGAATTTTAGCTTTTCACATTAACAAGGTATTTTATAATTGTGCGTATTTGTATATTGTGGTTGATTTAATTTTGCTTTTTAAAAACTTTTCAATAGTTTCATGAAAGAACTCGATACTCTTCCCAGTTCATAGCTGGTATATTGAGATGTATAGGTGACTTGCCTGGCTAGCAGGAATTTGTTGTGTGTTACAAATACAGATTTGCCTTCTGGGTTTTAGTTCAATGATCTGTTCACAAGAAATCAGTATAGTCTAATGAAGGATGTCATTTTCTACATAGCCGGGAAACCTACAATGCGCTTACGAATTGGTTGACGGATGCTAGAATGTTAGCAAGTCAAAATATTGTGATAATACTGTGTGGAAACAAAAAGGATCTTGATGCAGATCGTGAAGTTACTTTTTTAGAAGCGTCCCAGTTTGCACAAGAAAATGGTAAGTAGTACAAAATCTTCATGTAGCATTCAAGGATGCTTAATACTTAAAACAATTTTTTTTTTTGTGCAGTTAGGGAGTACTTTGCCCAGTGTACCTTAAAATATCTACAGAAGAGAGAGTTCTGTCAGTACATGGGCCATAGAGAGAGGACAGTGCCTGCAGTGAAAACTGCATGTACTATTTAAGTCGTCTTACCAGTGATTCTTCCAGTCACAGCTGCTACTCAAAGAATAGCTGCTATGAGGAGATATGTTCCCAAAGGAATGTAATACAACTTCAGGTCTTGCCTTACCTCCAAAGGGCTGAGAAGGAAATGGAGAGCATGATTTCCTGTTTTTTAGCATCTTACAGATTCTATAGATCATAGACAAGGTTGGATGGGGTGCGCCGCAGATGGAAGCAATGAGTTTTACTCATAGGAAACAGAAAAAGAAACAGATCGTACAATTGCTCGGTGGGCTCAGGACCCTTGTCTCTGAGCCATTCTCCAACACTCGACTACAGATAGGGATTTCATTTCCACATTGGTACGGCAAGCGAGATGGGAAGGAATGAGTTTCCACAGAAACACGTTCACAAACGGCATCCCTGCGTCGTTCCTGCTGGCACACAGCGGGGGAGGCTGGTTTGGGAGGACAAAGCACTTTCTGAAGGGGAAGGAACACAGGAGTAAATCGCAAGCAGCCCTCAGTAACCAGGGCAGTACTCTCACAGACAGACGGCCCTGCTGCACGGGCGTGAAGCTTTCTGCTTCCAGCAGTGCTCGAATCCGCTGGACAACCAGCGCAGGATGCTGATGGAGTGGGAGCATCCAGCAGCTACAAAAGCTGTACTGCATGGCTGAAAACTTGGCCTCTGCTGTAGCGGAGAGGCGTGGCACTGTAAAGCTTCTGTACCCTATGAAGCTGTATAGAAGGCGGCATTAATTTTCCTTACCGAGGTGCTGGAAAGACTTTCTCATGCATACCCATCTGTAAATCCAGCTGTACTACCTCAACTTTGTTTCCCACAGTATTTTAGAGGATCCACTCTGTCTTGTACCGGAAGCTGCTCCAGAGTCACGGTTCCCATTTTTCCGATTTGAGAGTAACCCAGCCTTTTAAAGTACCGCCTGGAAAGGTCTTGGAAAGAAGTGACACTTTGCGCTAATCCCACCTGGCACTGCTTGTACTTTTCCCAATGCTGGGTGGCTTTGAAGAGCTCTTTGCACACAACGGGCACCGGGCCTCTGTTTGCAGCGCAGCTGATCGTCCAACAGCTCTTCCCGAGCCGGCCTGCCCGTACGCCAGCAGAGCAGCGTTATAACCTTGCCAGGCGTTCTCCAGCGCTCCTTGGGCCAGATCACACAACACCTCGCTCTAAACAACGATCGAGTGCATCCTCTTCACAGATGAGCAAGCAAACGCATACACAAGCACTGCTGCCCGGGACGCGTGCCCCCACTAACAGGTTGAATCAAGATTTGCAAACGTGCTTGAAAGTAATACCAAGTTCCGGGATGACGGGAGCGTAGGCAAAAGCTAGGTAAGGCTTCCAACCAGTAAACCGACCCGTGCCAGTCACCTGCAGTACGCTTACATGAACGTTAATAATGGGAGATAAACTAAATGAGCAGTCTATGACCGTGTATTAGCTACAACTGCTTGTAGTTGGTTCTTTGAGTAAAATCTTACCTGGCCTGCATAGCTGTTGGATCCGGCTGAGACGAGCATACCGTTCTCGCCCTTTCGGAAGCCACTACGAGACCACTAGGCTAGATGAAACGTAAAGGCCTTCCAGCGCCCTGGATTCTGAGGGCCACATATGCTTGTGCTGTTGGTGCTCACAGAAATCACACACTACTTCCCTGCACCCTTCTCTGTGTACTGAAAATACTGTTGTAGCACCAAAAGGCAAGCGATCGGTCACCCAGCGATAGCTCCTGCTTTTGTCTGCATTTAAGCCAAGTTGAACAGCAAGGCACACCACAGCAAGGACTGCTGTGGGATAAGCCTGCTCTTAAACTATGCCAGGGGATACACAGCCAAGGAGGAAGCGACCTGAACCAACGGACACGTCGGTAACTGTAACTTGCATTTTTCCCTCTCCCTCGCATACTGGTCATCCACACGGCAGAGGGCTTTGAAAAACACATTTTATTTTAGGAACGGCTTGAATTCAACAGGAACCACAGAACATTTATCTCCAAGCACATCCAAGAGACTCGTTACCTGGACTACTTTGCCAAGAAAAAAAAAAGCATTCCTGGATTGGAAACCTGCAAGTTTTGCACAGAAGACAAAAGTACCAACAAAATAAGAAAAAACTGCTACCTTCTTACTTGAGAGTCTACAATTTCATAGTATTTTCAGATTGGCCTAGACTAAGAGGTGAAAAGCACTGCCTATCAACTCATGAGAAAACACGGGCTGGCTGCTGCCTGTAGCTTGTTTTTTCGCCACCAGAAATCAACAGCTAAGCTATTTGCGATTCGGCACATGGGAACAGATGAAAAACCGCCAGGTGATTTTGCATCGTGATACTCCAAAGTAGTTTGGTCTGAACGGGCAGAGAAGTTGCTGTTTTCTTTGCTGACATCCATTTTCTCCAAACCATCTCCAGGTATGCTTTTTGAAAACGCTTCCACTTCAGCACGATCCTCCTCAGGATTGCTCAGAGTAAGCACAGTTGCCTTATCTCTAGTCTCAGACGATGCATCCTCCGCCATTCCATGATGATGCTCCCATGAATCCCCAGGCAGTGCTATATCATCGTTGGTTACCTTTATTAAAATACAAAAAAAAAAGCCAACAAAACCTCACAGTCAATAACATGCAGGTGGTTTTTGTAAAGGGAAGACAAAAAACCCCCCCAACATATACTGATATTTGTGTCCCTAGTGTCCCAAAAACCACACTGCAACTCTGCCTCAGGGAGAGGACGAGGTACGGCTGGTGGCTCTGCAACTCTAGCACTAGAACAAACAGGGAAAGGTAACTGACTTTCACTCCCTTGAAGTCCAAACATACCGGAATTCAGGTTTATTTGACCATCGCCCCTGAAGGAAAATCATCTGACAACCACCAGCCTCTTTTCCGCTCGTTACAATTCCGCCCGATGTTAAGAAGGAAAGGCAGAAACGAAGCAGACACTGGGCAGGAAGCGGTCAAAGATCCCTGTTTGGCCACATAACCAAGTGTCTCAAAAGCAGTACACCGAGAGCTTGGTGGCAACCACAGTTCTAGTTTCAGCTGTCTTAAATTCTTGAAAACACATTTACCATCGTGTCAGTATAGGTCTTGGCCTAAATAAGATTATCATAGCCGAAAAACTCTCTCTCCAAATATTACTTTGGATGAACTGATTACAAAAAAGCCAATCAAAGTTTATTCAGGTACACCTTCCTTCCAGAATACTAACATAATCCAAATGGATTTTTCGCTATTCCTCTCCACACACGTAGCTCAAAACTGAACTTTGTGAAAAGGCTGCTTACCTATCATATCGTGAGGAAAAGGTTTTCTGCTCATTTCCTGCCCATGCTGCTCCAATTCTGGATAACACATTACTCATGAAAGTTGCTATGATATCCAGATATCCTGAATTGGCTGGTTTTCTTGCTCTTGATACTGGCTTTGGTCTCGCAACTGTAAAGCACAAGGGAAAACCTATCAGCCTTGTGTTATCAAAGTGAGCGTTTCTTGACCGCTGTATTCCCCGCGCTAAAAATTACCTCCTCTTAAGGCCGACGAAGGCAAATGGTAAGGCCTGGCTCTCTCTGCAGCCAGCTGCCTTTGAACTCTAGGAAGGATCTTCCGATATGGGCGTAATTCAGACTTTCTGGCACATGCCCCCTCTCTGAAGCGAGGATGGCGATCATTCTGATGAATAAAAAGCGTAAAGCAGTTAACTAATTACAGCGAGTGCACTGCACAGAACAGCAGCAAGTCATTCATGAAGTTACGGGACGACGTGCCGGCTGTACTGGAGCTGGCAGCAGTAATTGTTTACCACAGCCCACTTCCTTGGGAGCAGGTGATCATGTCTGGTGCAGCCAGCTGATGTTTGCAACAGCTCGCATCCCAGTGAGACCCCCCCGTCGTCAGCTGCTGCACTGAGCCCAACGCTCGGAGACACCGACGGGGGCCATGGGGGGTCTGAGGCAAAGATGCTTTGTGTTGCGCATGACCAGCACGGCCTGCACGCTTCCTTGCGCGTATCTGTGGCACAGAATTTATAGACGGGTCTCTAGAGACAGGCCTATCAGGGCTGTTCCCTGTCAAACTCCCTAGTTTGGATCTAAGAGTACTATCACTTCTGCTGACTAAAGCCAACACCTGCAGCTCAGTGCAACTCGCAAATAATGGGAACATCAGGTTACCACGTCTTGTAGCCTCTACAGCCCTGTCAGGCAAGATGGATGTATTTCCCCCTTGATTCCCTCATAGGCAGACACCTGACCCAAACTGGGTGGCTGGACATCAGCTGGCCTGGGAGACAGACAGCCAGCTGCAAGACACCTCTTGCAGCTATCATGAATGGCTTCACGTATTAAAGGACCAGATTTCTTCAAAAAATTCAAGGTCTGAAACGTCAATCAAAAACTACAGATTAAGACAGCAGTATTATTCAGTCACTAAGGGTCTGGCTAACCACTAAGAGAAATAGGATAATTGTTCACTTAGACTCTCGGGAAGCTCACATCAGCAATATGCTTTGCGTTAGCAATCCGAGTAAGCATTACTACGTAGAGTCGTAAGGACGGCAGCCAAACTAGCAGTTACAGTTTCTAAAAAAAAATCCTGTAAAACAAAATATTGGCCCTTGCAATGCTTAAGTATTTTCTCCCTTCTCTGTCAAAACACGGGCCTTTCTTTTTCCCTGAACACTGACACAAATTACTTTCTGTACAAGCTAAAACTAACACACAACTTCAAATCACGCTTTGCATGAGCCTTTATAAGCCTCTCTGTGCAGAGGCTGATTTATGTTGGCAATACGTAGTGAGCTGAAACTTAATTCAAAATTATTTGCCACAAGCTGTGCCCTGGCTTGGAAGTTAGAATTTGGCCAGGGTCGGGAAAAAAAAAAAAAAAATTTCTTCTCAAATACTTCTCAAACACAGTTTTTCACTTTCTCCATTCTGTCCTCCTTTTTCAAGCAGACCAGGGATCAAAACCCTAACTCAAGACTACACAGGCAGTGCGACTGAAGGGTAATAGAGAAGAAACAGCTTTCTTCTTAGGAACGCTTTTGTTCTTGCTCCTAGAGCAACGTTGTATTCCCTTCTAGACGTTCAGTCTCGGATCGCGCTTCATCAGGAGGCAGTGCTCACTTTACAGTTCCAAGAGCAGACTGAAAACATTCTCATTTGCATAAAACTGGCAGGGTACAACTGCAATTATGCGTGTGGGTGGGCAGGACGAGCATAAACCCATCTCTGACAGTGAAAGCAGTGCAGGAGAAAACTTGGAAAAGGTCCATCTCTTCACATTCTCAATAAAGATTCGGTAAATGATCACCTCCTTCTGGAAGCTGGTGCAAGTCATATGGACAACTCCGGAGTTCAGCAAGCACGTACCATCTGCAGAAACAACCAACATTTGACAAGCTTCCATACGCTCACAGTTACGTTATGACCAGTTTACAGTTTTTAAACAGCAGTATCTGGAAAGACAGATCTCAGTGCCCATCTTCCTCACCAGATCACTTACAGACTTTTTAAAAAAATAATTACTGCGTCTAGAACTTTCATCTCTAGCGCAATCGAGGTGCTGTGCTTTGAGCTTCAGTTCAAAGTCATTTCATTTTATAACCATCACCTCTTCGCAGGCTCTATCATAAAAGCACCAAACCCCAAAACTCAGCACACTCTCGGATGTGTTTCACAATTTTAAATCCCACCTTAGTGCAACGTAATTTGAGTTGGGTTTGTGGGAGCTGGGGGTTTGGGGGTTTGGGTTTGGTTTTCGAGTGACAGAGAACAAGAGAACTATTTCATGTCATCTGACCTCAGTTTGAGCTTATCACTATAAAAAGCAGTGAAATACCTACCAAAATTATAGGAGCTTGGATTAAAAAACTGATCAGGTGGTGGATAGGAAGGAGGCACTCCGCGACAGAGACTCTGCTCACGTACTCGAATATCCAAAACGAGGCTTGGAGAAGTCATACTTAGTCCAGTATCCAGTGACCACAGCGCAAAATAGGGGCAGTCGTGAAGGAGTTCTTCCGGCCTTAAAGAAAACAAGTGCATAAGCTAAATGCCAACTTTCAGATGAATTATCTGGGGGGACACTGAAAAGAAGCTAAGAAAAATCTACCTCAGTGAATCTGGCATTTGAGCGTGATACCAGCGGTTAATGTCAAATACACCCAAGTAAGTAGATGGCTTTCCCTCACCATACGTATTCACTTGCCAGCTGAAGACTGATACACTGGTCTCAGGAGATATTACTGTAAAAGACAAGACGTTGTTTCTTATTTGTAGAAAACATGCCGTATCCGATATTTTTAAAGCACCGCTTCCTAGTTTGGTTTAATTCTGTTCTACCACTCATGCAAAAACAACACTGACTAAGAATAAGAAAAACAATTCACGGAGTAGCAAACACCTCTGTGACAGGTTCCAGGCATCCTGCCCCTTTTTCTTGTTCGGATTGTATCCGTTCCAAGCCAAATCAGATACATAATTAGTAGCTTATTAAGTTTGCCACGCATTAAGAGTTGAACAAGACATTTAGCTAGATGAACAGCTGAGCAAAAAAAAAATATGCTAGGAACACAGACACTGCTTCTTTTAGAAAGCACACAAATAGTCATCGTATACACTTGTATCACTTAGCCAGCATTACTAATTTCCAGCTTTGTCTCAACCACACATTTTCAGAACAGCTCCTCTCCTGCATGTCCGCACCGAAAGAACACAATTATCACACAAAACAAATACAGAAACAAAAGTTACAGGTATTTTTTCCATGCCTCATACTTCAGAAAAAGGAGGCAGAAAGGGGTTTTTTTTGTTGCCGTTTGGGTTTTTTTTGGTTTTCTTGGGGGTGTTGGGGGAGTGGTGTTCTTTTTTGTTTCCAACAGGTTTTTAGAAGGCACTCCTCTCAGAAACATGGCACAAGTGGAGAAAATCCAAAGGTGCTTTGATTAGATTTTGACACACCGTTGCTCGAGGATGGCATCACAAAAGACACGGAAGTTGCCGCTTCAGGACTAAGTCAAAGACAATCAGCAGAAATAGCCTAGAAAGGTCATGCAAGTGTCTTTGTGACACCAGACAGAAGTCAAGGCCCGTAAGAAGCGGGGGAAGGTGACTAACGCAGTCAAAACAAACGGCTATGCAAGTTATCACTGCAGCAGGCTCGAAGATATGGTCAGAGCGTAACTGGATTTGTAAACCCAGAGAGGTATATTTAATTACTGCAAGATAATGAAAGACACCATAAGAGTTTTAACTGTGTACATGGTCAAGGAAAGCTACCGCTGCATCCTGGATCCTGCTCTCCCTATCACCTGGGAGCAGGAGTAACAGTCCATCACCTCCTGACAGACTAGTACCTCTGTACCTGGCAAGTGGCCGAGGGAGGGCAATAACAGCACTGCGCATCCAGCAAGTTCTGGGCCTGCGCAACTGGTGGAAAACACCCAAATAGCTCATCACGGGAGCTGGGCCAGAGTGGAAAAGTCCCTAACGAAAGTCAGTTATCCTGGAGCCCATAAACAGTGACCCCAGGTGAGACCCTCTGAGCTCTTCTCCTGGATCGCAGTGGGCCTGTGACCAGCATCTCCCCTGAGTTGGGACGCCTCTCAGCTATCAACTCCTCGAGGCACCGTCTGCTGTCGAAGCCAATGATGGGCTGGGCAAAGTCGCCCCCCTCGGGTCTCAGTTATTGGCTGTTGAGGAATGATGATGCTTTGCAAGTATTTGCTCTAAGCTTGAGAAGAGGGAAATTTTAACCGTAGGCTAGCTTTTCTTCACCCGCCTCTCTACTTATCTATGTGTTTGGGTATACACAGCTGTTTTTACGAGTGTGGGTACATACATATTTCACTGGATCCAAATATTTTTGTCTGTCTGTGTGTTTGTACATCTTGTGTTTATGAATAAACATATGTACTTAGATAGATAGATAGATACGTAGATAGATCGATAGACAGACAGACAGATAGACAGACAGATAGGTATACGGATAGAGAGAGAGAGATAGAGAGAGAGATAGAGAGATGGAGAGATAGATTTAGGATACCACACAGTAAGTCATTGCGATTCTTGTCATTTTTGAATCTGTACAGTTAAGTCACTATTTTAATCATAACGTATTTTACTGAATTATTTTGTAAATCATTCAAGTGGTTAATGATTAAGTGCTGCTACTCATTAATAAATCTCAATTTGCTGCCAAACTATTACCGTGTTAGTATACCCATCCATGACACCTGGGAGAAGAGACCAACCCCGACCCTGCTCCCACCTCCTTTCAAGTAGCTGTAGAGAGCGACAAGCTCTCCCCTCAGCCTCCTTTTCTCCTGGCTAAACAACCCCTGCTCCCTCAGTCGCTCCTCCTAAGACTTGTTCTCCAGAACCTTCAACTTCAAGGTGCGGCCTCACCGGGGCTGCGTACCGGGGGACGGTCACTGCCCCAGTCCTGCTGGCCACACTATTGCTGATACAAGCCAGGATGCTCTTGGCCGCCTTGGCCACCTGGGCACACCTCTGGCTCACATTCAGCCGGCTGCCGACCGACACCCCCAGGTCCTTTCCCGCTGGGCAGCTCTCCAGCCACTCTGCCCCAAGCCTGTAGCGTTGCGTGGGGTTGTTGTGACCCAAGTGCACTCGATCCCCTCATCCAGATCGCTGATACAGATCTTAAACAGAACTGGCCCCAATGCTGAGGCCTGGGGAACACCACTTGTGAGTGGCCGCCAGCTGGGTGCAGATACAGACATAGGTGTGAACAGGGAAAAAAAAAATATTCAGATCACATTCCTAAGCAACGCAGAGAATGATCTTCTTTTTCCAAGAAGACAGCTGGAGGAATAAAATGACTGACAAACGTTGCAGAGATGGCCCTACTATACAGTGCTATAGCATGTCAGCAAGCACAAAATAAACCCCAATTTCCCCCTTAAGGAAGTCCCACAAAACTCAAGCAACTCTTTGTCTATTTAAATAAGCCCAACAAGCTCGTCTCTACAGATACTCAAGACTTTCTGACTTTCTGTGGGTACAGAACAACATTCACTGCTTAGATTCCCAAACTACTTTTTTAGAATAACCAAGCACGGACATCAGAACAAACCTTCATTAACGCTATCCTCTCCGTCAACCGGCTTGGGAAATTTTTCTACAGTCTGGCAGCTCAGAAATTTGGTATTGCCGGTCGGCCCTCTCCAGGGAAAGACTCCACACGTGAGATCTAAACTGAACCTTTCGTCACAGTATTCCAAACCCTGGGGAAAAAAGGAGAGACAAAAGGTCACTTTGGCGATATGAAAGAATCTATGTACCAGAATGTAACATAATATGCACCTTATACTGTGTATTTCCCATGAGCTTCTTTCTGATGGCAAACAGAAACAACATCTGGCACGCAAGAGAATCAAGCGTCAAATCCTAAGGGGTATCTTTGGCTGTAAAGGCTTTGCACATTTTCAAAATTTAGCATTCCCCTATCATTATTCGGTTCTAATCATGTTTTGCAGAAATCCTTGCAACACCAGGGTTTCTTTACAAACCGGAGGACAGATCTACAAAGAGGTATCTGAAATCAGGCGATACATACGCATGCAAAGCTCTTTGCTCTTGATTACAGGACTGAGGATGTTAGAGAAGTCTTGGCACTACAGCAGCTGAAGCTCTGTCAAGAGGTGTTATCTACTGGCACACCACCAGAGCGAAAACACATCCCTCTGTAGTAGCTGTGAGGACTTCTTACCGAGTAACCGTCTCCTTTCAAACCACATAAGCTTTTACCAGCTCCTCCTCTAATCTTGTCACACTAATGGGTGAAATATCCCCCGGTTCCTTCATCAAGCACGGCCACCAGCAAAAGGGGAAGCAGAGAGGATGTGGGAGGCACGCGGCCAAGGCGTTTAGGATCATGAATTACTACAGAGCCAGCAAACTACTTTGAGATATACCGAAACCCCAGCAGGATTGTGCTGAACCTCTGATACCACCTTTTCCTAGGGAAGCATTAATTGAAATACTGTCTTTCCAAATACAGAATTTGTTCAGGCTGTCTACCATGCAACACATCATTGTGTGTATTGACAAATAGCAGCTCTACAATTTAAAACAAAAACAAAAACAAAAACAAAAAAACAACTCACCAACACCCCCTCCCACCTAACACACAAAATACTACCACCAAGGAAAAACCAACACAACAATCAATTGTACCACACTCTACCGAAGTTTCCTAAACTTTCAGAGCTCTAAAATGAACTGGTACGACACAGTACACTCCCATAGGATTTGATATGATACACCTAAATCACCTAATCTGAGAAGAGACAAACCTCCTCTTAACCGTTCTAGGAAATACTACTAATAAGTATCAAGGCTGGCTTTAAAAAAAAAAAAAAAAAAAAGGGTCTTTCATTACTGAAAAGAAAAATGCTGAATTATGCTCTGAAGCACGCACAGTTCATTCTATTTTATCAAGTAACTTCTGCAATAACAGACACCACCAGACACGTGCAGAGTAGAGAAGCCAAAACCACCTCTTTGAAAAACTAGCATGAAGCCCAAGCAACCGATCCCGTTTTCATTACAGAAGGAACGATCACTAAAACCAGTTTATAATAAATGATGTTGTCCAGAATGAGAAGTCCATCATTCCAAAAGACCGTTGCATCAGATAAAGTCCTCAAACTCCATAAGCCTTTTGGAGATTAATTTGAACGGCTATCAATTTCCTCTCTTATTCATCTATGAACAGCCACAGAGTTGGGGCAGAGGGGAAGGGAAAGAAGATACCAGTTCCTGCCTGAGACACCTTCTGAAGCAAACCACTGTATTTTACATTTTCCACTGGGGCAAGCAAATCTAAGCTGAGCAACTCCGCTGTATGGAAGGTGTTAAGTAATTACTTTGTGGACCAGTAAACTACAAGGACAGTTTTCAAACGAGATGCGCTGGTCAGACTCGGATATGAAAGCAGAGCCTCTATACTCTGTCCAGCCGCAGGCACTGTGTAGGACAAGGGCCAAGATGTGCTGCATGGCCACGCCTGGGGGCACTAGATTTACCAACTCCTGAGATGGCATAAAAATGATCTTTGTAAGCATAACTTCAACATTCCGTTACATTAATTGCTTGAGCACAGGCTTAAACCAGCCCTGAAGGCAGTGGAGACACAACTCTGATGCTTATTTACAAAACTACAGTGCCACATGTTCCAAAACTCCTATTTGTGACTTTTTACCATGGTAAGAAGTCAGTTGCACTGTCTCATAGCCTCAAGTCTGATTCCTGGAAAGTAAAGCACTGCTGTAGTAGACACAAGTCTTTCAACTTCCTCTGAATTCTATTCAATGAACGAGGGTCAACGCTAGCTTCCTCTTTGTTTACTCAAACTTGGCCTGGCAATCGGGAACAACTCTTACACTTTCTGCCATGGAAGATGGACAAGGATCTTGACTCAGCCAGTCATATAGGCAGAGAGCCATGTGGTACTGACCAATCTCTGACTACAAGGAAGTATTCTGAGACTGAAAGTGTCCACCGTCGAGCACAGGGCCTGGCTTAATGCATCTTTGGGGTTTGGGGAGGGGGGCTTGGGAGTTGTTTTGGGGGGCAGTAGGTATCATCAGGTCTCAGTACGAAGCTACACGGCTCATCTGGAAGCGAGCTGAAGAACCCATCTTTTCTCCCCGGAGGCTCCAGCTGTTTAGTTCCTTCTTCAACTCCCTCCCGAGATTGGTTCCTGTTTCAATCTTCCACAGCACTCAGCACAGGGAAGCAGAGGGAGTAAAATATCTCAAACCCAGAGACTGGTGCCTGACACCTGCTGGAAGCCTGTGAATGTACTACTGATTGGACAGTCTGCAGAGGGTCAGGAAGTCTTACAGTAATTACACCACAGCTTTCTCAGGTCACAAACACAACAACATTATTCAATCCTTTGGTGTGCTTTTTTAAAAACGGTGCCAAGCAGAATTTCTAGTAGACCCATTCTTAAAGGCTGCTGAAGGACCTCAGCTCTCTGAGGTGAAATCTGGTGCTACTCACATCTTCAGTTAAGAAGAATTTTATTTGGAAAAGCTGCTGCCTCTTCGGGAGTTGCATGTATATGGGCTCTTTGCAGACGAATCTAGTTGGAACACACGACACTGCAGTGTGAAGTTGTATGACTTGTTCTCAAGAAGTACGGACAAAGGCCACGCCCAAGAAGACTCGGCAAAACATTTTTTTTTTAGTCAGCTCTGAGTTTTGACGGCAAGTATTAGCCCAGCCAACTCAACTGCTACTCACGAAGAGGAAATTACTGTTTTCAGCTTTTGACATACGTGCACGTCTTACCTCGTACATGACCTGTCCTGATGCCAGGCGTTTTCTCTCATGAAATAGTAACTGCAACAGATGTAAACTCACAGCGTCACCTTCACTGAAAAAGGTACAAATTATGACATGTGATTACAAAGCTGCTTTATAGTCCTTGTCATCACCTCATCAGAGCTAGACCAAAGCCTTCTTAATAGCATGCTCTTGCTGAAAAGAAAAACCCACTGCCCAAAACATGACAACCGGTCACATTTAGCGGCTAAAACACAAAGGAGGAAATGCTGGCACTAACAGCTTTGGGGACAAATGCCAACCATGCAGTCTGAAAGCTTTAATATGCTGTATGGACTAACGTTTCTTGGAAACGGTTCTTCACCGTGAAGCGTTCTCCAGCAAAACTGCTTTACAGTCACACCCAAAAAGATTGACACTCTCTGGACAGCTGGGCTGATCAAGTAGCTTGCTGATGCTGAAAGAGAGAGGTCTTTCTTTCTCCCCTCCCCTCCCCTCCCCACCAAACTTCCCGTCCCTCTCTTGCATACGCTGCACCCTTCCACCTTCTGATCTGATTCATTAGCCCGGCAGGAAACCATCGCCCTCTCTGCTCAACAGTGAGCGTTTTGTGCCAGGTGAGCTGAACCGGCTCGTGAAGGCTCCAGAGGCTGCTGAAGCTGGCACGAGGTGACAGGCAATACTGTCACCTCCCTCCTTCCGGGGCAGCAGGCTGCGGTAGCGGCACGTTTAGTGTTCCAGGTCTGCAGCCTCGGCTCCTTTCAGCGGCAGTTTCATACCACGGTGCGAATATCAAAGAAATCATGAAGCAGTCATCAAGATACAAAGCAAGCGTTTAAGAAAGCGAGCACAACAATACAGCCGCTGTTGCTTTGCCTCCTTTCGGGAGGCAGGAACCAGTAGGTCCCTCTTCACTTCTGCTAAATCCTGACAAGGTTGCATTATAAGCTTAACGGCTTCCGTACCTGAGAGAATCGTCTGCACAGCTGAACAAACGAAACATATATGCACGTATATATCAACTGTATGCGGACAAATATTGAAAAAAAAAAATAATAATCAGTGGCTTATAGTAAGTGTTTATTCACCTTTCTTGGGTAGACTGAACAGCCCACAAGTAGCAACAGTTGCGAGGATCCTTTTCAGGCTCTTGAAAAGTGACAGCATAGACAGGAATCCTTCCTCCTGCAAGCTGAGAGTGGTCCCTACAGGTTTAAAGAAATTTAAAAGAAAAAGAAAAGAAAAGAAATTAAGAGGTGATCCTACTGGCCCTAACAGTTTGTAGAGGGCTAGAAGCATCTCCTGAGAAAAGAGCACCTTCTGTGCTTATCCTCAAAGTACAGAGGTCATAATTCCCTCTCAAACAAGTGAGTCAAGGAAGCAACTACTTTTTATGCAACTGTCAAAGGGTGAGGAAATTACTGTCCATCCAATGGAACAGCCTGGGTTTATGCCCTTCTCTGCCTGAGGGGGAGGAACACAGACGATTACTGCAGCTGCCAGGCAAATGACTGTTCTGGCTGCTGTAGCCTACTTCAAGATTGAACTTAAAACGCAGCGTATCTTCTGAACAAATGTAAACCAGTGCCAAACAGAAGTAGTTCCTCGTTTCTTTACTTGGACTACGTAAAGCCCCTTTCTTCCAGACTTCTGAACCTTATCTGTACCTTCACAGTCGCTTCTTGCCGTCTAATTATCCCTCCACTGTCTATTTAGGCATCCAACAGTTTCCGGAGAGGCACTGCAGATTTGCTGAAGTGAATCCCTACCCGAATTTGGACAAATATTTCGAGCGAGATTGCTCTCTGGCAGATTTAAAATCATCTCTTAATTTTTCTATTCCTCGTGAGTTCACATGTCCCTTATTCTCATCTCCAAGTGTTCCACGCAAACTCTCATTCACGTGCATTGCTGCCTCAGAATGGCTCACTCCCCTGTTTCGGTCGAGGCTGACACGTAAGAAAGAGTATGTTTTCAGGCACAGACCAGCTATTGATTCTTCATGTCTCACTAGTATCATCCGGGACACTTTAAAGAATATCACCACCAAAATCACACTAGCAATGTAATTATGCCTTTCAATGCATGCCCTAATTGCAGTAACTTCTTCAGAAAAAGCATTTCTAAGATCTGTTTCATCGAAATACACACATTTCCTGGTTTCACCAAATGCCACCGAAAGAAGAAACTGTCTGATAAAAATCAGCTCTATCACGTCCTAACTGCTTGCCATAACCCAAAGAAGCACGCTTTCCACAATGCCTCAATCCACAGGCACAGTAAGGAAAACAATCCCGGTCCACTGGGGAGAAGGCGGTCCGCTCGGGCCTTGTGTGACTTCACAGCTCTGTCAGAAGAGGATTTCTAAGCATTCTTCCAAGATTACATGCAAAATTTCAGTCCCGGAAACAGTTCTCTTGTAATTAACGTCCTTCCTTAGGCAAAACATGGAGACCGGTGCACCGCCAGGCACAGCCAAGTGTAAAGGCCTACTTACTCCCTCTTCAACGTTTTCATGTTCCACAGTGACAGGTAGCCATCGGAAAAACCCACGACGAGATGATTGCTTCTGCTTATGTAGCTCAGGGTTGATACTGCTGTTCCCGAAGGATTTTGTAATTGAAAACAGAGATGTCTCCCTTCTCTGGCCACAGTTTTTCTTCTCTTTGGAACTCCCACAGGAATTCCACTGGCAACTTCCAGATCTACACACACAAAACCACACAAGGAATGAATGTGTTATGCCATTCACGTTGCATTTTCAACACTGACGTGACTACACGGGTAACCTAATTCTACCAGCCCAGGCAAAATACCCATTTATGCAACGCTTCTTTTGCTACTGCCGTCTTCTGTGTATTCAGAGAACATAAGAACTCTCCGATCGGACGGGTATTCTCCCTCGTATGGCAAAACCAGGTAAAAGCGTAACCTTCAGCGACAAATTCGGCTTGGACTTTGGAAATCAGGAGTTGGGGCTTCACGGTGAAGCTATCTGAAGTGCCATCAACTCCCAAAGCCACTGCTGTATTAGCTGGAACAGCGTATGCCATCTGAATACACCAACCGGAGATCTCATTCACCCACATGCATGAATTTTGGAAAGTCGGATTTGTTTCAAAAAGCAAGCTTAAGATCTGCCCCAAGTCAGCTAAGAGAAGCAGAACAACGTTCCCAAGAAATAGGGCACCTCCGGCACAACTTCCTGCCAGGCAGCTGCACCGACTCAGACGGTGAAATCCCTACAGCTCACCGGCAAGAATCACGGGGACATGGGGATCGTGGTGGGAGGGGGGCGTTTACAGCATTAGCGGGAGCACTGGGCCACTCCCATTTTTCATCAGTTCAGGACTAGGTGATGTCAAACTGCCACCTGTAATCAGCACTCATCAATGTCTGCACACGAGTATCTGCAAAGTGGCACGCATACTGTTTGTTAAAAAGACACCAGGTTTCTTCCTTTTAAATTCAAGTTTAAAAAGCGCACGCTTACCCGATGCTTCTCTTTCATTCTGACTGCAAGATAAATTATCCAAGCAAAGGTCAACCAGAAGTAGGTGGCCAACATCTGTAGCCACTGCTGCCACGCCAAAGAGCCATTGCAGGCTCGGATGTAGGTGCCGAGCGCTCGCACTGGTGATGCCTCCGTGATTAGTTATGAGCTCTACAGCAGTTACCTACAGGGAGAGTGCAAGTCAGTATTTAAGCTGCTTGACAAGCTAAACGGAAATCATTCGAAGGTGAAACCAGAATTAGCACATCAGAAACAAGAAGGTAAATACAGGATCATTAGGCTTACAGACAATATCCAATTTTATCAAGAAAAAATAATAAAATAAAGCCCTCTACAAACACCTGGTACTTCTTCCCATTCACTAGATCTCCCGCAGTTACTTAACGGAATTACCTTCCGCTCACATGGCGCATTCTGTTATTACAGCTCACCAACCTCCCTTTGCTACCTGGAAATAATTAAGTCTAAGAAAACACAGAAAATCAGACGTATGCAAGAAACTTGACCGTAATTAAGGGACCGAAGGAAGACAGACAAAACTAAATCGCCTTCTCCCACTGCTCACAGCCCATCGGCACTGGGACACCGGCTACGCCTCCTTTGCCAAACAGGTATTACGATAAATCATGGCTGTAAGTCACACGAGGCAGCGGTCAAGTCGCATGGTAGACGCACCATCTGCATGGGAATTACACATTTTTACACAGTGTTCAAGGGAGATACTGGCTCAGTAAAATTTACGCTCGTCCTCATGGAGGGTAAAGGTAACAACCAGATAAACTAAAAAGTTTTCCATGCACACCAGCACTTTTGTGAATGGGAACAAAAATTTGAAAGGCCAGACTAAAACAGCAGCAAAAAGAACAGCAGCTTGTGGGATAAAAAGCTAACTCCAACTACGGAAGAAGCCTACAGACCAGGAACATTTGTCAAAATACCGTTCAATAGTTCTGAAACATGCAACCATTATAAACCAATTTTAGATAATTAATGCCTTACATTCAGATTCGCTTTTCCAAGAATCCCATTCAAATAATACTCCACTGACACTCTGAGTTTTCTGCTGTGCTTCACGTGTATATCCAGAGGGCAGTGAGAGATGCTCACACACACACACACAGAATTACACCAATATTCTGTCGAAGCTTGAGAGTTTGTTTTTTTAATTCTCTGAGTGACTACACACCTACTCTTACTCCAGAAGGCAGTTATACGGTCACTATAAATACCCTGTATTAAAACACTAAGGGCTTCACACCTTGGACCACAGTTACTCTAAGCTAGTGTTAAACTCTACAGCTTAGCTGTCCACAGAAGATATACCCACGTGGAAAAGAGTCCAGAAACAAAGGTGCTCATTAAAGCCTTAAAACAGTAACGACTGTTAGTACTGTGGAAAGTGATGTTAAGAACAGATCTGCATTTTACGTTTAAAGATCATCAGCGTGAAGACCAGAGAAACATTCCAGCAGACTCAAAACGCGTATGACGTAACTTATAATTTGGAAGTACGAGTTACCGAAGAAATTCAAAACCTATGGACCGTGGCCAAGTACAAGTTTTATCTACTTGGTTTTGCTTACCCTTACTCCCACACTCACAACTTCAAAGCTAACAGTCCAACTGGCAATACCTCTGCCCTGTCTATGCCCGTCTGCCTCATCTAGTCGCAAAAAGATAGGAAGCAAAATGAAAGCAACAGACCAAACATGCTTATAATCCAGAGCACTAGGGTGTAAGAGCAAACACTCAAATAAGCTGTGACTTTATTCCGAAATCCACAACCTTCATCACACAACAGCCAACTTTTCCCCCACAACGTTTCTTCACATTTTCTCCTGAGGCATTTCTTCGTGCTATAGAAAAACTCCCTAATACAACCGAGAACTACATTCGACCTCAAGTCACTTCTGTAGACACAGAGGCGGTAGGTGACATGGTCCTTCTTAACCTTTCCTTCTCCTATTCCCAGTTCACTTAGATTTAACAAATAAAACTATAAAAAGCAATGTCATTTTCCACAAATGTCATTTGCTTACTGATTATATGCTGATGTCAGCACACAGCATGCCCTTCCGTCTGAAACTCCGGGATTTCTCAAGGTGATAGGCAAACTAACACAGTGGAGCGGCAACCCAACTCCTATCTTCTGAAATTACCACAGTACAAATGCTTACTACTAGTAATCACACTGTAGCATTACAAACAAACAAGCAAAATGCCACCCGTGTTCTAGCAAGTCAAGCCAAATCACTTTACGGAAAGCTGGGTAAGAAAGAAGTATTTACTTGTTGCAGATTCTGGGAGGATAAAACCAGAATGCACCTTGATATTCAATTAACTTACGCTGATTCTTGTTTGCATTAAGACAATGAGACTAGGGGTCATCACATCATTTGAGCCCAGGGCTTATACAAGACAGAAAAAATTGGCAACATCACAACACTGTATCCCCTCCACACAAACACAATTTCAATAATCAGAGGTTCAAGGGCCACACACGGAAAGTTGATCTTTCAACAGTCTGTCAGATAACTTACTAAAGGCTCTTTTTTCTAACCTAAGGCAACAGAAAGAATCTGTTCTGCTCTGAAGTCACCGGCTTGCTTGTCTGAGACTCATGGGACTGGGTCTAAGTCATTTACAGCACAACTACAGACCTCTGAGATATGTTAAAGACAGTATTTCTGACAGAATAAACCATTCAGGAAATGTATGCTACAGAGACTTTAAAGACTGGGGGGGTTTCCCTTTTCACTCTGCCCCAAAAAGCATAGTTTTCAATGCCCTTTTTTGTGGAAGCGGAGAGTTAGGTAACTATGTGCTCTGCAGTAAAACCACAAAACTTACCTTACGATCAGTCAACTCCAAAGATAATGGTACCGTTAGGCCCAGGATCAAGGCTGCCTTGACTGGATACTCTGAAGCGACAGAATGCTAACGCAATACAGAAAAAATACCTCCTGCAAAGAGACGCTCCAAAGCTTTTCCGGAAACAGGATCGTGCAGCACCTAACAACATAAAAGCTTCGTTTCTCCAATTAAAAAGCACGTACCCTTCCTGGAAGAGCCACGCCTTTAACCACTCTTGATATTCCAAGGTCGTACAGACAGAGAACGCTTCCCTCTGCTTCTTCCAAGCCAACCAGCAGCCCAGTTCTCTTCTGCCAGGAAAACTCCTTTACCACATGCACAGTGGGAGGCTGTTTATTTGCTCCCTGGAAACGGTACGCAGAGAGCCGCGCTCCTGTCACAGAGCTCACCGCCTGGAGTTGAGGACCACACGCCTGCCACGCCAGGCCATGGCTCCCTGGAAGAGAAACGCAAGAGGACTTAAGCAAAGGTCCAGCAGAAGACTGAAAACTGCCGAGAAGTCACAGTCACCGCCCTTTCCTTCAGTAAAAGTACCGAGCAGAGGAAGACCAACCCGCCCGATTCCGGTCAAGTAGTTAAAGCCACCCGTTGAAATCCTCAAGGAATGTATTTGAAAATTAACACCTTTGTTATTTTGCATTTGTACTTGTCACTCCCGCACTGAAGAGTTCTGATTGTTTGGGATAAAGATTACGAGATATTGATCTCTAGTCTGTTTACCATATTCAGCTAGGTTTTGCTAGAATCCTCTAAATACATAGGGGAATACAAGTCCTAAAGCCTACTTTGAGTAGAGCAAATCTAAACCAATTCGTTTCTAGTGTATTCATTTTACTTGCCACATGCCTACTTTGGGCAGGGATTTAGACTTCAGCAAGAATTTATCTTAAAATGGGCACCACATGAGTAAACTCAAACTGTTACACGTGCTGAGCACAGGAAGAATTTAACACGTGCTGTTTCACTGAACTTCCTCAAACTCAAAGCAAGGAGTAACTCAACTCAACCACTGCACTTCCAGTCAGGCAGGTGGACTCTAGCTGGTCTAAACAGAAGCCCAGGCATCCGGGCAGGCACCCAGCTCTACTTTCAGATCACCTAGAAAGTCAATGACCTAATCTGCTCAGCCACTTTCAGCAACTCTCACTGGGTACTCATCTGCGTCCTGTCAGATTCTTGGGAAATACGGATGCAGCGCTCAACAGCCTTCTCCCCCTCCTTCTGTTTTTATTCACACTAGAAAAGTAAAACCAGGGGGGTTTGCCTCTGTAACATTTCGGCATGTGACGGTCACAGAGATTGAGCTGGTACAAATCAATACGGCCCCAAACAACACTATTACTTTTTGGAAAACTGCCTCTTACTGAATTAGAATTTGAGGAGGGCCACCGACCCAGCAACGCTTACGGAAATTGTTCTGATGGCACAAGATGGGTGCAGGCTGCTGTAGTTTCAAAGCTGAGCTACACTAACGTTTTAATATGAACACGTTTAATAGTTAAAACATCCTTTCTGTTCTCGGCAAACCCGACGCATCTTAACAGCACCAACCTGACACAGTTGCTACGGTGCCCCGGTGCTTCAGGTAACCTCCAGGCAATAACATCTTTGCACCAAGACCAAATTTAAAGGAAAATGCTCACCTCCAGAAAACTTCCCGCTCAGCACAGAATCTAGGGTTGTCTCATCTTCCCCAAGTGCCTGAACAGTCACCTCGGGAAACTGCAGCAGACTGCTCGTTACCCGAGCCATCAGGTCTCGCACTCTTCACTGTAAAGAAAAAAAAAAAAAAAAATGACCCACGTCAGCCCTAACTATTTTTGAGATTGACACAAGTTCCATCGGGATGCAGCGAATCATCTCCTGTACATCACCTGTAGTTCTTTCCCTTAAAAAAGCGGCACTCGGGACAGTTTTCAATCTCACAGCAGAGCAAAGCGAGAATCCTTTCCCTTCTCTGATGCCTGTGGGATCACAAACAAAAAGTGACACAGACGTATGGACAAGATAAATAACAGGAAAAAACCCAATACCCTGAGTTCACGTCTGCTCACATAGGCTAATAAGATGCGAGCTGAGAAAAATCGTATTTCACATTGCAAGCAATACAGACTTCCACAGTTCATCATTCAGAAAGTAGTTTCCCATACACTTACGATGGAAACAGAACACAGCACTTTAAAACACTGATATTTTCCTGTTCTGAGATCCTCGTATTCCTTATTCCAGTCCCTTCCTTCCTACTGCCTGCCCTCATCACATCCCTGCAGTCTACTACAGAAATTTCTAGGCCCTTCAGACGGTGTCCACACTTCTACAGGTGCTCCACAAGGAGTTCGTATTTCACTATGTCAAAACAGAGGTGCTGGTGGCAAAACTTGAGAGCTGAACTGATTTACAGGGTTAAATAGGTGGCTAAACAAGAGATATTCCATACACATGGGAATGCAAACTACTCCAAGTTACTACGTTCTGCAAGTTCTCTGCGCTATTGAAAATGGCACCGTAAGAAAGTTCATGCTCTGAAGCCTGTGCACTGGAATCCACTACATGTCCAGTCACAAGCACTCGGGTTGAGAATATGTCCAGTATCTTCTGCCAGAGCAAAACCAAGGAGTGTGGGAAAGGCAGGAAGTGTAAGTCAGGGGCCTGCACTAAGCACAAGTCAACACGTTGAAAAAAGCGTTGCCAATGGCAAAGCCAGTATCGCAGGACGCTGCTGCAGCCAGCCAGCCTGACCACTCTGCGAGCATTCACAGCTAGCACAGATCAAGTTCCAACTGGGACAACTTCTTTGCAGCAGTTTTGCTGCATTTGCTTTTTGGTGCTTGTCAGCGTTTCAAAGTAAACAGCGGGACAGCCTTTTGCACTGCATCCGGGGGCTCCAGAGAGTCAAAAGCCCTCACCTCCCTCCACCCGCTGGCAAAGCTCCGCCTTACGCAGCCCAGGACACCAAGAGCCTTCTCTGCACGGGGGCCACTTCTGCCTCACGGTCAGCTTGGTGCCCAGCAGGCTCCCAGGGTCTCTCTGCCAAGCCTCTTTCCAGCTGGGCAGCCCCCAACACATGCTGGTGCATGGGGTTGTTCCTCCCCAGGTGCAGGACTTGGCCTTTCCCCTTGTTGAACTGCCTGAGGTTCCCGTCAGCCCATTTCTCCAGCCTGTCAAAGTCCCTCCGCGTGGCAGCGTGACCCACCGGGGTATCACCTCTCCACTCAGACCAAAACAGGAGTTTTACTCTAAAAGGCCGCGAGCATATCGGAGACCGTCTGCCTCGGAATTCTACAATCAGGCTTATCTCACTCAAGCGCAGCCTACAGATTCTCCTGCAGAGTCTGTGCGGCTGCTCCATAAGCACGAATCTACAGCAGCAGGTGAGAAGAAGAAAGAGTTTCAGCTCTCTAGCCCAACAACCCCCAGCAGAGAAGATCCCGGAGCTGATGCAGCCCACAGCTTTGACTTCCCTTTAAATGAAAAAAACAAGCCAAACCACCCCAGAACTTGACGCTAGAGCCAGTTTACCCAGCTACCTCCTGTGGCTATTCCCTGACAAAACTCCGCTGTCATCCAAGGGGTGCAGTCCCTGCCTAACACGGCAGAGTTTGCAAAAGCTCCCGACGTCAGTTCTGAAATGATGCTCTTTTTCACACCGCTTGGTGTACCTGGACAGACGGACGTAGGTGCTGAGTGCCTCAGCACAGAACACACACGCAGCCTTCCTGGCAGAGGGAGACCGTAGTCAGCAGGACACCTCCAGCGCGCCACCCCCAGTGACATCTCACCGCTTGCCCCTCGCATCACAGATTCCAGAATCACAGCATCACACTGAAGACAAAGGCCTTCCAGAATCTCTGGAGGTCACCCGGCCCAGCCCCCCTGCTCAAGCAGGGTCCGCCAGGGCAGGCTGCCCAGCACCCTGGCCAGACAGCTGTTCAATCCCGAATGCTGAAACATACTTTTACAAACAGCAACCTGACAAGCTGAACTGCGGGGACATCTGCAACACGGGCAACAGGCCTGGGTTTTTGGTGACTCTCTCCTACAGATTTAAGTATGTTCTCCCCACGCGAGGGAAACAACGCCACACCAGCAAAGCCTAACTTTTTTTTACCACGCACTCTAATCAAAGAAGCCTATGCACAATAACCTCCCTAGCAAAGTATATGCCCATGAGAAACTATCACCTAATTAATTAAACAGCTGTGTAGTTTGTGGCAAGATGCAGCTCATTTTAAGTTAAAAACTGAACGGAACTTGGAAGCGTGTCTCCTTTGTTTCCCCACTGGGGGGAAAGGATGGCTATCATATATATATATATATATAAAATACATATCTATAAAACGTATATAAGCACATATCATAAACATACATATAACAGATACCCTTCGGGCTTTGAAACTGAGAGAAAATGAGCTCCTAACAAAAATTCAGCGTAAATTTCATTTCACTCTACTCAGAGCAGTCCCCTCATCTGTTTCCACCTCAACTAGCCACCCACTCATACAGAGTTCAGAAAAAAGATGAATGGCCTCTTGCAGGATTTTTGATTTTGCACGGTTACATTCCTTACAATACCTAAAGCCGTCCTCACGGTCTGTCTTCTCTGGTTTGCAAAACAGCAATAAATACGCCCTGTTTTGGGTATAATCGTAGCGCACCCACCTTTAAATTTCTTTGTCAGCTTTGTGAGAGGAGGAGAGAAAAGGAAGGACTCCTTTTCCTCAACAGGCCGTTTCTGATGCATGGCAGTTCTGCAGGATCTGGTTCTTGAAACAGGATCTGTTGAAGTTCTTGATCCTTCATCACGTCCTGACAGGTTTATGTCTTCAAGCAGCAAAGGACTGCCATCAGGTCCTCGGCAGAAGGCCTCCTCCCCTGTGCTCTCCTTCAATAACGATCGTCTCTTTCTGCCCCGACGGGCTCTCCTTACTGGACTCTGAAACAGAAAAGGCCCAAACAATAGGCCTCAAACCAAAGTTGACTTCTGAGTGCATTCCCCCACCAGCAATCAGCATCTTAGCAGCAGAATGAAGCAACCAGCACCTTATCAGCATGAAAATGCAACCCTGGGAACAATCCCTGGGAACTGTAAGTAAACAATAGGAAGTAACTATAAATCCCAAATGTAAAGAAAAACAGAAACTCCTCAGACGTGCCCGGATCCTGGCCAGATCCGGACACGCCTGAGTGAGGCATGTCAATCTACCAGGTATCTCCTGTGCATTTCGTTTAGACTTGTTTGTTAAACTGTATAAAAGCCAGACCCTCTCACAGCACAGACGGAGACCTCACCTACGAGTGGACACACTGCGTAGGACTTCCCAATTTCTGGGAAAGGCTCTCTGATCCTTCGCTGTGACGGGGCTCCCCAGCTGATGCACGGGTCGGGGTGATGGTAAAGTATGAGGGCAATTGGTGATGGATCTTTCTTAATCACTATAGCCAGCTTTATGTAGTAACGACTAGGTGCATTACCTTGCTTATTCTTTCTGCTGCTTTAAACAGTAATGTCTAGGTGCATTACCTTGCTTATTCTTTCTGCTGCTTTAAGGTAAAATAAGCCTATTTCTTTAACTTGGTGTCTGTGTCCTTTGTGTTAACCCCGTCAATTGGCAAACCAGACTCCCGGGTGTGGCTGATTCCTCATTTGCCTGTGGAAGTTCTTGCTCACGAGTATCCGTTTTTTCTGGCTTGGCATGTGGAACTCTTCTTCTGCCCCTAGGAGAACCAAGGATTTCCACTCTCCCACCTGCACGTATGCCTTCCTGAGTACAGGCAGATTCTTTGCCTGCCAAGAAAATTTGTGCCCCCTTCCTCGCGCGTCTTCTAGGAGTGACAGGAAGTTTA